ATGCAGCCCATCATTAACATTGATTATCTGGTTACAATGGCACCTGAAAGTGGGTGGCATATTTTAGGCAGAAAGTGAACATGTTGTCCCTGAAGTTGTTGTTTTAGAACACAGAAAAAATGTGCAAGTGTCAGGATTTGAGTGACTTTGCAAAGGCCTAATTTTAATGTCTAGACGACTGGGTCAGAACAACTCCAAAACTGCAGCTCTTGTGGGATGTTCCCCGGTCTGCAGTGGTCAGGACTGACCAAAAGAAGTCCAAGGAAGGAAACCGGAGAACTGGTGACAGGGTGATGGGTGGCCAAGGCTCATTGATGGAGGTGGGGAGTGAAGGCTCATTGATGGAGGTGAAGAGTGAAGGCTCACTGACGGAGGTGGGGAGTGAAGGCTCACTGATGGAGGTGGGGAGTGAAGGCTCATTGATGGAGTTGGGGAGTGAAGGCTCATTGATGGAGTTGGGGAGTGAAGGCTCATTGATGGAGGTGGGGAGTGAAGGCTCATTGATGGAGGTGAAGAGTGAAGGCTCACTGACGGAGGTGGGGAGTGAAGGCTCACTGATGGAGGTGGGGAGTGAAGGCTCATTGATGGAGTTGGGGAGTGAAGGCTCATTGATGGAGGTGGGGAGTGAAGGTTCACTAATGGAGGTGGGGAGTGAAGGCTCATTGATGGAAGTGGGGAGTGAAGGCTCACTGATTGAGGTGGGGAGTGAAGGCTCACTGATGGAGGTGGGGAGTGAAGGCTCACTGATGGAGGTGAGGAGTGAAGGCTCAGTGATGGATGTGGGGGAGGGAAGGCTCATTGATGGAGGTGGAGATTGAAGGCTCATTGATGGAGGTGGGGAGTGAAGGCTCACTGATGGAGGTGGGGAGTGAAGGCTCATTGACGGAGGTGGGGAGTGAAGGCTCATTGATGGAGGTGGGGAGGGAAGGCTCATTGACGGAGGTCGGGAGTGAAGGCTCATTGGTGGGGAGTGAAGGCTCACTGACGGAGGTGGGGAGTGAAGGCTCACTGATGGAGGTGGGGAGTGAAGGCTCACTGATGGAGGTGGGGAGTGAAGGCTCATTGACGGAGGTGGGGAGTGAAGGCTCATTGACGGAGGTCGGGAGTGAAGGCTCATTGATGGAGGTGGGGAGTGAAGGCTCATTGATGGAGGTGGGGAGTGAAGGCTCATTGATGGAGGTGGGGAGTGAAGACTCATTGATGGAGGTGGGGAGTGAAGGCTCACTGACGGAGGTGAGGAGTGAAAGCTCACTGACAGAGGTGGGGAGTGAAGGCTTACTGATGGAGGTGGGGAGTGAAGGCTCATTGATGGAGGTGGGGGAGTGAAGGAACAATGATGGAGGTGGGGAGTGAAGGCTCATTGATGGAGGTGGGGAGTGAAGGAACAATGATGGAGGTGGGGAGGTTAGGCTCATTGATGGAGGTGGGGAGTGAAGGTTGGCCCATGTAGTCCGATCCAACAGAAGAGCTACTGAAGCTTAAACTGCTAGAAAAGTGAATTCTGATTCCTATAAAATGGTGTCAGAACACACAGAGCATCGCAGATTGTTGTGTATGGGACTGTGTAGCCGCAGACCGGTCAGGGTGCCCATGCTGACCCGTGTCCACAGCCAAAAGCACCTAAAATGGGCATGCGAGCATCAGAACTGGACACGCAGAAATGGAAGAAGGTTGCCTGGTCTCATAAATTCAAGAATATGTTTGAGGAACATAACAATGAGTCTGAGGTGTTGACTTGGCCTCCAGATTTTTCAGATGTCAATCCAATCAAGCATCTGTGGGATGTGCTGGAAAAACAAGTCCAATCCATGGAGGCCCCACCTTGCAACTCCCAGGAATTAAATGATCTGCTACCGACAGCTTGGTGCCAGATACCACAGCGAACCTTCAGAGGTCTCGTGGAGGCATGCCTCGGTGGGTGGTTATAATGTTATGGCTGATCGGTGTATAGTGCGCACAGTATAGTATCATATAGTAGACAATCAGACATTCTACATGTTAAATCTGCATGGAGGGAAGTCGATACATTCTACATGTTAAATCTACATGGAGGGAAGTCGATACATTCTACATGTTAAATCTGCATGGAGGGAAGTCGATACATTCTACATGTTAAATCTGCATGGAGGGAAGTCATACATTCAAACATGTTAAATCTGTATGGAGGGAAATCGATACATTCTACATGTTAAATCTGCATGGAGGGAAGTCGATACATTCTACATGTTAAATCTGCATGGAGGGAAGTCGATACATTCTACATGTTAAATCTCCATGGAGGGAAGTCGATACATTCTACATGTTAAATCTGCATGGAGGGAAGTCGATACATTCTACATGTTAAATCTGCATGGAGGGAAGTCGATACATTCTACATGTTAAATCTGTATGGAGGGAAGTCGATACATACGAACACAAAAGTCTCCACTTTCATAGTATCCAGGGCAGCACTGTGACCTCCGCCGGTACATGGTTCTCAGGCCTCGCCGGTATGCCGTCTTATAACTTATTCTGTGCAAGAAAAAAAAGAGAAAGAACTTCATCAGGACGGGACACTCCAAAAATTCCACGTTACATTGTTATTATAATTATTATACAGGATTTATTTATTATTATTATTATTATTATAATACAGGATTTATTATTATTAATAAAAAGAGAGGGATAGGTGCAGCGCTTAAATCAGAATACAAAGGAGTACTCTATATATGCATGTAAATCTCAATGATCAAAACAATTTAAAAGTAAATGCAGATGTGATACAATGGTGAACAGTGCGCTGATCCATGGAATATGTCAAAGCACACATAAAGTCCTCATCCCAGATCAGTGGTAAGAAGAAAGGTGAAGAATCCTATAGGCAGATAGAGTGCGCACTCACCAGAAGTGCGTATAAACAACGCATGTAGAGAGGTAAAATCAGCAGAATATCTCCGGCATCAAAACTCTGGTCAGAAGCCCAGAAGCCCTGACCCTTTGAGAACGTGCATCGCACGAAACGCGTCAGCGGGGCTACAGCACATGGACATCTAGCCACTATATGTGGCCATCAAGTCATGGTCAGTAACTTTTTGTTGATTACTATTTTTTGACTAATAAACCTAAGTCAAAACAACATCACACTATGTGGCGTCCTTTATTGGGCTCTCTTTGAGAGCACCACCTCCCACGGTGCCTATCTGGACTAAGGAGTACCTTTGACGCCCACATTGTCTGATGAATCCTGGTTACTGCTCTTCGCGGTGAGACAGAGGATGGTACAGAGTGCAATCTGACCAGAATTTTGATGCCGGAGATATTCTGCTGATTTTACCTCTCTACATGCGTTGTTTATACGCACTTCTGGTGAGTGCGCACTCTATCTGCATATAGGATTCTCCACCTTTCTTCTTACCACTGATCTGGGATGAGGACTTTATGTGTGCTTTGACATATTCCATGGATCAGCGCACTGTTCACCATTGTATCACATCTGCATTTACTTTTAAATTGTTTTGATCATTGAGATTTACATGCATATATAGAGTACTTCTTTGTATTCTGATTTAAGCGCTGCACCTATCCCTCTCTTTTTATTGATCATTATAAGGTTGGTTGGTTGCCTTTTTTGGTGTTCTAGCTGCTTACATATTCCTGTTTGTAGCGCTCGCTATATCAATTTTTACACTATTTATTATTATTGTTATTATTATTATTATTATACAGGATTTATATTATTATTATTATTATTATAATACAGGATTTATTTTTTATTATTATTATTATTATACAGGATTTATATATTGTTATTATTATTATAATACAGGATTTATTTTTTATTATTATTATTATTATACAGGATTTATATATTATTATTAATATTATTATACAGGATTTATTTATTATTATTATACAGAAATTATTTATTATTATTATTATTATTATACAGGATTTATATATTATTATTATTATACAGGATTTATATATTATTATTATTATACAGGATTTATATATTATTATTATTATACAGGATTTATATCGCGCCAACAGTTTGCTCAGCGCTTTACAATATAACGGGAGACAATACAGCAACAATACAGTTCAATACAAGAGGGATAGGAGGGCCCTGATCCTGGAGATTACAATCTAGGAGATGTTGCTTGATTGCTTTTCAGAGGCTAGTGACAGGCAGTGAGGAGGTGATACAAGATCGCACGCAGTACCTAGCCCAAGTCAAAGTATTCAGAGTTCCAACCATACCACATTCATCAGACACGCGCGGTTCGTGTCGTTCCCAATTGAAATTTGGCAGAAATGATTGTTATTCGGATGTATCCGAATTTTTGAATTACAATGGTAACAAATTTAAACAAATCTGAAATAAGGAATCCGAGGTAGCAAGATTAAATCTGAATCGAATCAAATTAGAAAACAAAATTAAATTGGAAAAACAGAAAAGAACAAAAAAGAAAAGAGTAAAACAGAATAGAATAAAATAGAATAGAATAGAAAAAAAGGAGTAGAATAGACTATAAACTAAAGGAATAGAATAGACTAGAAAATAATAGAATAGAAAAGAATAGCATAGAAAACAGTAGAATAGGAAAAAAATAGAATAGATGTGAACAGAATAGCATAGAACAGGAAAGAACAGAGTAAAACAGAATAATGTAGAATATAATAGAAAAAAGGAGTAGAATAGACTAGAAAAGAATAGAGTAAAACGGGACAGAATAGAAAAAAAAGGGATAGAATAGAAAATAATAAAATAGAATAGAAAAGAGTAAAACAGGAAAAAATAGAATAGATTTGAATAGAATAGCATAGAACAGAAACAAACAGAGTAAAACAGAACAGAAGAGAATAGAATAGAACAGAAAATAATAAAGTAGAATAGAAAAGAAAAGAAGGAGTAGAATAGACTATAAACTAAAGGAAAAGAATAGACTAGAATAGAATAGCATAGAAAAGAATAAAATAGAATGGACAATAAAAGAATAGAAATATATAAGAATAGAGTAAAACAGAACAGAATAGAAAAAACGGGATAGAATAGAAAAGAATAGAATAGAACAAAATAGAAAAGACTACTGTATTTTTCGCCGTATAAGACGCACCTGACCATAAGACGCACCTAGGTTTTAGAGGCAGAAAACAGGAAAAAAAAATTCTGAACTAATGGACTGCAGACACAGCACAGGAGATGACCAGAGACTGCGGACAGCACAGGGATGACCAGAGACTGCGGACAGCACAGGGATGACCAGAGACTGCGGACAGCACAGGGATGACCAGAGACTGCGGACAGCACAGGGATGACCAGAGACTGCGGACAGCACAGGGATGACCAGAGACTGCGGACACAGTACAGGGATGACCAGAGACTGCAGACATAGTACAGGAGATGACCAGAGACTGCGGACAGCACAGGGATGACCAGAGACTGCGGACAGTACAGGGATGACCAGAGACTGCGGACAGCACAGGGATGACCAGAGACTGCGGACAGTACAGGGATGACCAGAGACTGCGGACAGCACAGGGATGACCAGAGACTGTAGACAGTACAGGGATGACCAGAGACTGCGGACAGCACAGGGATGACCAGAGACTGCGGACAGTACAGATGACTGCTGACCTTTGGGGAGGTGGGGAGCGGGTACCTGAATTTGACAGGTACCCGCTCTTACTTCCGCAGAGTTTTTGTTTGATCTTACCTGTTCCTCTATCCAGCGGCGCGCTGTCTTCCCGGCTTCTGTAATGGCGCTCGGCATGACAGCCGGGTGCCCAGTGCACATGAGCGAGAAGCGCTTGCGCTTTGTGATTGGTCCGGCGGCTTCTGGGATCTGTCATGTGTCCCAGGTACCGCCTTACCATTCACAAAGAGCACCGCTTCTTGCACATGCGCACTTGGCACCCGGCTGTCATGCCCAGTGTCCACACTACAGAAGCCGGGTGACAGCGCGCCGCTGGATAGAGGAACAGGTAAGATCCCGCTGCAGAGCTGAACGGCCAGCCCGGTATTCTGACACGGCCGCGGTGGAAATACCGGACCGGCCGCTCCATATTCACCGTATAAGACGCACTAACATTTCCCCCCCAGTTTTGGGGAAGAAAAAGTGCGTCTTATACTGCGAAAAATACGGTAGCTGCTGTCGCCATTGTATACATTATGACTACCTAGACCGGGAGTCAAAGGCAGCTGCAGGACACCAATGATCTTTTTAGCTGTCTGTGAGGGTGTCATTGGTAGAAAATGTGCCCCATCGTTGGTGTCATTGGGAGGAACTGTACCCCTTTATTGCTATCAGTGGATGAAATAGCGCCCCAAGGGCCGGATAAAAGCAAGCAAAGGACCACATGTGGCCCCCCGGGGCCACAGTCTGGAGACCACTGATGTAGACCTTTCACTTGGGACATGATTTTGTCATTCTGTACCGCCTTATTACTATTTGAAACATTCATGAAAAGATTGAAATAGAAAAAGGGGGACTAATCTAGAGATCCACCTAAATCAGGCGGGCAACTGTGGCCCTCCAGCTGTTGGTGAACTACAAGTCCCATCATGCCTCTGCCTTTGGGAGTCATGCTTGTAACTGTCAGTTTTGCAATGCCTCATGGGACTTGTAGTTCTACAACAGCTGGAGGGCCGCAGTTTCCCACCCCTGACCTAAAAGCATAGTCAGTAACTATTTCCCTTTATCAGTTCTACATCCAGCTAAACACAAGTTATCCACAATTTAACCTCTTCACGCTGACCGAACGCAAATGTGCGACCTCCCGGGGTCCAGGCCTAGACGCTGAGCGACCGCACAGTTGTGTTCTATTAAAAAAAGACATATGTGCCGAGAGCGCATGCCCAGCACACATGTCCGGTACTCACGGAAAGGTCCCGATCTCTTCTTTCGATCGGGACCTTTCCGGCTCATGTGACCCTAAACCCCGCCTCCCGGCTTCTGAAACTCTTAAAGGGCCAGGAGGCACCGGCATGAAGGGGTTAACTGTGGCCTTGTCTATGCGCCATCACCGATCTTGTCTCTAAATATCACCCAAACTGTACTCCCCGCTCCTCACACGACCTTCTGCTCTCTAGCTCCCTTGTCTCCTCCTCCCATGCTCGTCTCCAGGACTTCACCAGAGCCTCCCCCATCCTCTGGAACTCTCTACCCCAATCTATCAGACTATCGCCTACTCTGCTCACTTTGTGAAAACGTATCTCTTCAGGGAAGCCTATCCTGCCCTCAGCTAATAATGGAATCTTCTACTCCTCCTACCAGTCCATCCCCCACAGTTATTACCTTTTTAGTTACTATCTTTTATATTAGTTATTACTAGAGATGAGCGAATTATTCAAAAATTCGATTCGGCTGATTCGGCGAATTCGCAGAATTAATTCTATTCGAGTCGAATATATTCGCTGCGAATTTAACTTATAAAAAGGGTGTTTCTAGGCTTCAGAGAGCCTTTATATTAGTGCAGAACACTGTACCTTTAATTTAAATGCCCTTGGAGTCTGCTGGGGAAGAGAAATAATACTGTCAGTCAGTATGACATGCAGATGAGTGCCGTCGATCTTAGAATCACCGCACACTTCACTCATTTGGGCAGTCACGGGGCCAAAACCAGAGTGTGGAGCCACAGTGTGGCGGTGGAGGCAGCAGCAATGGGAGGCCATACAGCACCCTATGACAAAATGGAACCCACCAGCAGTGTGAGGAGACCTGAAAGTGGCACATGGCAGAGTGTGGCGATGGAGACAGCAGCAATGGGAGGCCGTACAGGGACCCATGACACACTCTGGACCTGGCAGCAGCATGAGGAGGCGGTACAGGGGCCCATGACAGATTACGGGCCTGGCAGCAGCATGAGGAGTCGGTACGGGGGCCCATGGCAGATTACGGGCCTGGCATCAGCAATGGGAGGCCCGTAATCTGCCAGCACCCTATGACAAAATAGAACCCACCAGCAGTGTGAGGAGACCTGAAAGTGGCACATGGCAGAGTGTGGCGATGGAGACAGCAGCAATGGGAGGCCGTACAGGGACCCATGACACACTCTGGACCTGGCAGCAGCATGAGGAGGCGGTACAGGGGCCCATGACAGATTACGGGCCTGGCAGCAGCAATGGGAGGCCCGTAATCTGCCAGCACCCTATGACAAAATGGAACCCACCAGCAGTGTGAGGAGACCTGAAAGTGGCACATGGCAGAGTGTGGCGATGGAGACAGCAGCAATGGGAGGCCGTACAGGGACCCATGACACACTCTGGACCTGGCAGCAGCATGAGGAGGCGGTACAGGGGCCCATGGCAGAGTGGCGAAGCGTAAGCAGCTTAAATTGAAGGCCATACAGAGGCCTATGTTAAAAATAATAACATGTTTGAGGCATGATTCATGGCGGATTTAGTCAGTTGTGTCAGGAACTGGTGGTTTGAAATCCAGACTAATCCACGCCTGATTCATTTTCACAAACGTGAGTCTCTCCACACTTTGGGTGGACAGTCGTGTCCTCCGCGGAGTTACAATACCTCCTGCCGCACTAAACACGCGCTCCGATGCCACGCTACTGGCCGGGCATGACAGCCTTTCAAGGGCAAATTCAGCTAGTTGGGGCCAAAGGTCAAGTTTCGTTGCCCAGTAGTCAAGGGGATTGTCTACCTCGGTTGGCAGGGTGCTGTCCAAGTAGGCCCAAGCCTGTTGTTTGAGGTCCTGCTCCAGGTCCACCTGATGCTGCTGCTGCTGCGGGCTGGTTAGTAGTTTCCTCACTGCGCTGGTGAAGAAAGCTACTCATCATCGACTGCAGACTGAGGCAGCCGCTGCTGGGTGGAGCTGCCACTGCTCCTACCACCCCCCCTCCCCTCCCCTGCTGCCATGGCAGCGGAACGCGAGCGCACAGGGCCCACAGTGTCTGAGGATGGACGTTGGCGCAGAAAGGCAGAGACCCAACTGACTACATAGGTGGTTTTTATAGTACGTTATTTTGGCCTCCCTCTCAGCAGGTGTGAAAAAGGCCACCATTTTTGAACGGTAGCGAGGGTCCAACAAGGTGGACAGCCAAAAGTCATCCCTCTGTCTGATGGTTATTATTCGGCTGTCGCTACGCAAGCAACCGAGCATGCTATGGGCCATTTGTGCCAAGGAATGCGAGGGACTCCCTGCCTCCATCTCCACAGCATACTGCCACGGTGCGTCTGGGTCCTCTGTCTCCTCCTCCTCTCTACCAGATGCTCCTGCTCCTCCACTCCTGTCCGCTGAGTGGAAAAACCACCCATTTCACTCAATAATTCCTGAGCACCAATGTCCTCCTCTACTACCTCCTCCTCTTCTTCCTGTCCTGCCCCCACAGGGGTCATGTGGCGTTGAGATCTGTGCGCCACGTCTACCGCACCCTGACCAGCCATTGTTAACAGCATTTGTTCCAGGACGTGCAACAGAGGAATGACGTCGTTCATCCCATAGTCCTGCCGACTCACGAATAGCGTGGCCTCCTCAAAGGGCCTGAGCAAGCGGCAGGTGTCACGCATGAGCTGCCAATGGCTGACATCGAAGTTACACAGGGGAGTACTTTATCCGCTTGTAACATCAGGAAATCGGTGATGGCCTTTCGCTGTTCGTAAAGGCGGTCTAAACATGTGTAGGGTTGAATTCCACCTTGTTGCAACGTCGCAGATCAGGCGATGCTGTGGAATTCCGTTCTGCCGCTGCAGCTCAAGGAGGGTGTGCTTTGCGGTGTAGGAATGGCTGAAATGCATGCAAAGTTTACGTGACATTTTAAGGATGTCTTTGCAGTGGGATGGTGGATTTTAGGAACCGCTTGACAACCAGATTGAACACGTGAGCCATGCATGGCGCATGGCACAACCTTCCTTGACGCAGAGCAGACACCATGTTCTTTCCGTTGTCGGTCAACATGGTTCCGATTTTCAGTTTGCGCGGAGACAGCCATCTGTCGATTTCTCTGTTCATTACACTCAGAAGTTCCTCCCCTGTGTGACTACGTTCGCCAAGGCATACCAGGTGCAGCACAGCGTGACACCGTTGCGCCCTGCACATGTGATATGCCGGTCGGGTAATGGGACTTGGCACGGGGGTGGTGGGTGGCGGCTGAGGACACGGCGGAAGAAGAGGTGGTAGAGGCGGACATCTTTGCTGGACCAAGGACGTGCAAACGGAGGCAAAAAAGCGGCGTGACCTGTCCAAGTTGCTGGTGCGGCTGTGCCGGCACCACGTTCACCCAGTGGGCCGTAAATGACATGTACTGTCCCTGACCGTAGTTACAGCTCCACACGTCGGCGCTGCCGTGCACTTTGGCAGAGACCGACATGCTCAAAGACTGGCCCACCATCCATCTCTTCTACATGTGAATGCAGGGCTGGCACTGCCTTTTTGGCGAAGAAATGCCGGCTTGGCACTCTCCACCGCGGCTCGGCACAAGCCATCATTTCTCGGAAAGGTGCTGAGTCCACCACTTGGAAAGGGAGGGACTGCAGCACCAGCAACTTGGACAGGAGGACGTTCAGCTTCTGCACCGTCGGGTGCGTGCTCGCAAAAACTGTTGTCTCTTGGAAACGGATTCCAAGAAAGACTGCTGA